TTGCTATAGTTACGTGTTTGTTACTGCTTCTGAATCCCTGGGCAAACCAGGGAACATTGTTTCCTATAGCCAGGCTCTCCAAAGGCGGGCAAGCCAGGATACATTGTTTCCTAGCCATGTTCTCCAAAGGCGGAAAAGAAAAAGTACGTTACATTTTCTTTATTGAACGATTTCTTTTGCGCACTCGGGCAGGACTTTGCTATAGTTACGTGTTTGTTACTGCTTCTGAATCCCTGGAACAAACCAGGGAACATTGTTTCCTATAGCCAGGCTCTCCAAAGGCGGGCAAACCAGGGAACATTGTTTCCTATAGCCAGGCTCTCCAAAGGCGGGCAAGCCAGGATACATTGTTTCCTAGCCATGTTCTCCAAAGGCGGACAAGCCAGGGAACATTGGAACCTATAGCCATGCTCCTCGAAGGTGGACAGGCTGGGAAAAGTTTCCTAGCCATGTTTCCCGCGCGAAGAAGAAAGTTTTCGCTGTAGGGACACGAAGATGAGAAGTCAGGATTGCTTCAGCAATAAAATCACACTCGGAAACCGAAAAAATTCTGAATTTATTGGAAAATATTTTTGCAGTTATCATGTATTTAAGCCACATTTTAAAGTCTAATTTATCTAAACATATTCCTATTCTTTGCAGCGTCAGAATATCACGAATCAGAGACCAGACATTAACCAGTCGCTACGTCGTTCCTCTATGAAAAGCGCAGTGTGTTCTATAATGTAGAAATAAATGTAAATTATGAAAAAGGAACAGATTGGTTCGCTCCGAATGTTCAAAGAATACTGGAACGCACTCAGCTCACCCATTCATTTGAAAAACCAATGCTGTCGCTGACCGAATACACGGTCTAAAGTACACTAGTCCAGAAGAGAACAGAACACATTATTTGCCCGAATCAAAGAGTTAAAGAGAAGACAAAAGTAATATTTATAATGGGCAGCACACAAAATATTTGATTGAATAGTGTTTTTAAGCAATGGATTTGGAGAAACAAGCAGCTTTACTTTTCGGTATCAAATTGACGTAAGATGGCAGAAAAGATGATGTTATCCTAACTCTGAAGTTCACATGACTGACATGAGTTCAAAAACTGTGAAGGCCTACTGATGTGTTTGATGCTGTAAAGTAATGCAGATACTTCGATACCCTAATTCAAAGACTTCAAAGGGAATAGTATTTTCTATTAGAAACAATTAATCTGCATGGCAGGCGGTCCCTAAATCGGGCAAGACTGGGGACCGCCTGCCATGCAGGCTAGGTAGGAACGGATGTATAAAACTCGCGTTGGGACTTGGGAGATCAGATCTATCGTGCTTTGAGTTAGGGTATCGAAGAAATACGAAATATAATGTGCTTTTATAGCAATCAATTCTAAATGACATCGTGGCCAGTTTTCACGGCCATGGCAATTTGTAATATAAGAATATTTTCTAAAATGTGTTGTAACATGTAGTTTTTACCATACACGGATTTTGTCAAAGAAAAACAGAATTTGAAAACTCTGTGTTGTGTGGGAGATTCTCTTTTTTATGTTTTGATGTTTTTTAAATACAACGGGCACAAGCTAACACTACACAAGTAACACAGCACTGTGATTATCTAAACCATGAAACCAGCTACAGGTTTCGTGTAGGTTTGGTGGCAAACAAGTACAATTAATTTGCTTAGTAAGACAAGTATAATACACCCTTCCGGGAAGTACTTGGAGCCTTATTTTCGAAATATTAATATCGGCTTTTAGAAGCCTTCATTGATAATATAAAAAGACCTTTATATAATCAAGTCGTCGGTAATAAGATAAAGGTCTCTAAAGCCGATATCTCAATCCCGTGTCTATAGCGGAAGGCTAAGTACTTTTGGGAAGGGTTGTATTAATTAATATCATGACCATAAGGCCAACAGCGTGACCATCTCGTGACCAACCCACTGAGCTATAAACAATCGTCGACTATTTTGGCGGCAGGTAGTCGGTATGAAACTGGTACGAATCGGGTGTTACCACTCATGAATGTCAGCTGTTCTCTTTTTAAAACAATTTTTTAACAAAAATTACGTGCATTAATATGTTGAATCTTTTACTTTATGGGACTGTAATTTCTACTTAACAACTACGAAAGTTATTTCAGGGATGGAGTGTTTCATATGTCTTAAAATTTGGTTATTATAATTCTGATGTGTGCATTAGTAATAGAATATATGAATTTCCAGGCTACTCTTTCTAAGGATAAAACTGGCAACCGTGTGCCTTTAGCACCGGCAAACGAGCCTTCGTCGCCGAGTGGAGATGTAGAAAGGGAGCCTCCACTCTGTGAAGATGAATGGAAATCATTTTTTAACAGTGATGGACGAATTTTGAATGAATCTGGTTTGAGAAAAGCGATCTTTAAAGGTACATAATTTGTTACATCAGATTTATTGTTTTGAAAACAAACATATTGTGTACCTGTGTTTTATACTTGTCTGGGCGTACAATATCAAAAACAATTGTCGTGAAATGTTGTAGAATAGGTTAAATATTAGTTAAAATAATGAATTGTATTAAATTTTTTATTAACTTTATTATTGTTTTATAATGGTGTACTATTTATAATTATAGCTTAAATAATTAATTAGTGATATATAATTACTGTAGGTGGAGTTAGTGATGCAATACGAGCAGAAGTGTGGATGTTCTTATTTGGATTTTATTCCTTTAGTTCGACATCAAGGTACTTTCACGATGAGCCCTATTCTATATGAACATATAAAATTAAATATAAAACCTACATAAAATTTTAGACCGATTTCCTTTCCAAATTTGGGGGGTTGGTTTGAGGCTTTGGCCTTTGTGTCAGGTTTCTTTGTATCCCGTCCAGAAGCAATAAATTCAACAAATTAATTTTGATGGACATTTAGCGTCTGGTTTATTACAGTCTAAACGTCAGACTATTTCCTTTTTGACAGAGAACGAGAAGTGATCACACTGGAACGTATGGTTCAGTATGAAGTTTTGAAAGAGAAATGGCATGGAGAATTACAAAATGCTTTGGCAAAGGCGGAGAACAGTTCTGAAGAACTGGATAGATATTTGAATCCTCCTTATTGTACAAATAATAATACGGATGGTGGTTTAGGCAATGAAAACAATTCCATTGAAGTACAACAGCAATTGATTTTTGCAAAAATAGAAGCACAGGTATATGGAATAAATTGAATATGTGCAACACTCCCCTTCAGCAAAATAGATGAGGACACTTAATTAAGTCATGATGGATTTTCAGTTTGTTAACATCTGACATTATTTCTTGTCTATCTTTCTTGTAGATTAATGTAAATAAGAAAAAGATAAATGTGCCAAATTTACGACATTTTTTGCGAACTATCGATAAGGATGTCCCTAGGACTGATCGTAACTTACAATTTTACCAGTAGGTGCAATCATAAAATTAAGTTTTGTATAATTTATAGAATATTATAATGCAAATTAATTCGAACTTGTACCAAGAACACCTCTCTAGATACCTCTCTCATATGAACATCTGTGTGTAGTATGCCAGTTTGCTCGCAAGATCCTAGTGTGTGTATTAGAAATGTGCATCATTCTGTGTATTTTGCCAGTGCATTCATACGATTTTGATCATAAAAAAACATTTGTTTCATTGCAGAGATCCAAAGAATCTGTTAGCATTACGAAACATTCTTATAACTTATGTTTCGTTTTCGCCAGGTTGGTACGATGCCATTCATGCAATTTAATAACAACTATTCAATATCAATGTGGATGTTATCTGGATGTTATTTTTTGTGTTCATTCTTTCATTTACTTTGCAATTATCAATTTCTTATTCCTTCGCAGATATCGGTTACACGCAAGGCATGAATGATTTGGTCAGTAGATTTCATGTTGTTCTCAAGTCAGAATATAAAACTTACTACTGTTTTCTCAACTTCATGGAACGAGTTGAGAAAGAGTTCCTTGAAGATGGAATGATCAGTAAATTAGGTATAGTGTTATAATTATGGCGAGATCTGAACTGCCTGATAAACAGTTAACATAGACTCACAGACCCCCATATAACCTGGTTATGCCCAAAATCGATCATTCCAATTTTTGTTATAGAACTTATTCAAACTTTGTTAAGAAAGATGGATTGGGAACTTTATAATTTCTTTAAAAGTCTGGATATAAAAGAACTGCTATTCTGTCACAGGTAGCCATTGAGGATTCATTACTTTTGTGTGGTAGGTGGCTGTCAGTGAATGATGAACTCACAGTTTTGCTTTCTTCTTAGATGGCTGCTATTAAATTTCAAACGAGAATTCAACTATGAAGATTCTTTGAAGATATTTGAAATCATCAGCAGTCACCATCTTGAGCTGTGGTCGTTAGAAGCAGAAAAGGAGAGAAGGCAGAAACGCGCAGAGGAAATGAAAAACCAAGGCACAGTATTTTGATATAGTGTTTAATTAATAACATTGGATGCAGGACAGGCTAGCATGAGGCAAACAAAAAGTGCCTTTGACGCCTTTAACCCCACTCTTGACCAAGTCCCCTAGCAGTGCACGAGAAACCCATTTTCTGCCTCTTTCGTCCCTTACCCAGTAGAAAATAACACTTAGTTCTTCTTCAGATGGTCAGTTATATACAGGACTGGCTGAAGTGAATGCAGACTTCACATTTGATCTTTTTGTATGCTTGGCCATATTAGTATCAAATCGTGCAGAGCTTAGCAAATGTAATGATCTCGCTTCAATTTATAATACTGTCAATGGGTAAGTGTGATTACTGAAAAATATATATAAAGAATGAGTACAACTTACGGTACATAGCCAGTCAAAAATTTCCTAATATATATGGACAGTTGTCACCCCTCTACTATGAACTCCCAATATATATTATTCTCATGCTGTAGTTTTGCTTTTAAAAAGACCATAAAATGTCTATCTTGAGCAGTACATGGCTGTGTTTCTTCAGTCTCTGCAAAGTTCAACTGTACATGTATTGATCTGTGCTTTACTTTCTGTTTTAGCCTGTCAATGAACATGAACCTGAATGCGATGCTTGCAAAAGCTGAGTCATTATTCCTGAGCTACTGTCGTAATTCTGTTGCAGACTGTTTTCAGGTAGTTGACATTAAGGAATGATTAGGACTAGATTTATGTAATATATTTAAATTGTACATTTATAAATAAAATTATTAAATTGTGTATGAAGAGAGTGAAACCTGAAGATATATAATGTAGTGGATAATTTAATTATGTAGTAGAAAAAGACCAGTTGAATGTGTATATAATATTTACAATGTTCTGTTGCTGTTCATATGGTCTTTCTTTGATTTTATTCTTCTTTTGCCATAAACTTTCATTGCTTCTTTTCGTTCCTTGTCAGTTATAATCGTGCCATCCAAAACTTCAAGTTTAGCAAGTGAGCTAATAACAAAATGTCTAAAAGCAGAATAAATATTTATAATCATAGATGATCATTATACCACTAAAGCCTCCTCTGTAGGCAATTTAGGAGTTTTATAAAGTGAAGGAAAAGAGGGGTAATTAGGTATTCTTAGAATTTTATTAATTTTACTCTGTTTAACCCATTGACTGGTGTTAGACAGAGTAAGATACTAAAGTAAGGTGCATCAGGGTGCATTGTCACTTAAAGGGTTAATAAATGCCAGACAATTTTACTTGTCCTGGGAAGGGGCTTGTGCACTAATGGTTTGCATGACCCTTTAAGTTGCAATTTGCCCTGATGCACTCTACTCTATCTAATGCCAGACTATCTTATTCTGTCTAATACCAGACAATTTTAATTACTTGTCAAGAGGACAGCACTGGCATTTGATGGGTTAATCATGTTTAACTAAACTATCTTACACAAATGCTAGTTGCAAACATTCATATTTCATGTGAGAACATTGTTTTTTCTGTTCATCCAAGATGCAAACAATAGTATACCTACCTGTAGTCTGTGTATGAATTATATGTGCCACCATTAAAATAACTTGGTGCCGCCTTGTTATTGATCATACTTAAATATTTGAGATTTGGATAACTTCGACAAACCGTCTCGATAAATAAACTGAGGTTTGTTATTTGGTTGTGATTGACCCATAATATCTGGACGGTGTCTAGCGGAGGAAATGTTGACCTGGCCGACAGTGAGTTGTGATCTAAGATAACTGTGCTCAGCTTGGTGAAACCACGAAGTGATTTTAGATCACTGAAAATCATTCAAGTTAAGGAACATAATTTGGCACTTTCTTGATGCACTGCAACCGGAATTTATTCTATAAATTAGTATACAGGATTTATGGGGTTATGCGTATATAGAGAGAGTGCCATAATTTATCATTTGTGTATATGCAGTGCTAATGGTTCTCATGAAAATTATGTTTAATGAGCTGAATGGTAAAGTAATTAATATTATTGCTGAAATACTTGGTATGTCCATTTTAAATTAATGATCTATTGTAACCAAAAATTATTTTAGTACCAGTGAATGCAATCAAAACAATTAACAATACACAAACAAACAAGGTCTATCGACTCTTGAGTTATCATTGAGAATGGAGTAAAAGCAAAGGAATGCAAAGACAAATGAAAGGTCGAAGGATACAAAAATTTATTATGGCTGAGATCGAGTTCGGTTACCGAGTCGCCATATTTGTCTATAATTCGACTAGGAATATCTTTCCATTCACCATAAGCCAGGGAAATACGCTCTGGTCTTCTAGGATCTCTTGGGTCTGTAAAACGACCAAATTTTTGGCTCATACTACACGGAAATTAAGTAGAAACAACGACCATTTTGTTGTTATTTACAAAATTTACTATTCCGTGTAATTTATGTGCATATTATGCAAATTTCTGTGCTGCCCGATTTTTTAGGTTTGCCTGACTTTTCAGGTGTTGCTCGCCGAATGTTTCCGAGGGATTCACGAGCTTTTCCGATTATGACGTCATCAAGCAGACCGGAAGTACACATGCGAGAGTTTACCGGTGTAATATGGCGGATCGCAAACTCTCTGATGGTGTTGTGGTTTTGGGGCAAAATTTGCTCTTCGAAAGGTATTGATTTCTTTGGTTATTTAGTATAAAATACTTATAACCTTGATCTAATATGTAGTCTATTTTTTGTTTCTCCTTGTGCTTTATAAACGTACAATATTTGCATTTATATGTCGTGGATTTTTAACAAAGGTTTTCTAATATCTTGACACAGACGGTAAAAGAATTATTTGTGATTTGTTTTAGTTTTGTTTTGAAACTAGGTTTATTTAGTAAACTTGTACTTTGGATAAATCAGAAAGCTTTTGTCTAGTTTCCATAGAAAGGCGAATGTCCTATTATTCTGTAAAAATTGTTTTTTGAGGGGTTTTTTAAATGCAAATTTTGCTGAGTTTATGAAATTTTATTGAAATATGATATACGTTTCTTGCTAATCCTGTACTTTGTTTTGTTCCCTATACATTTCGAAAGAGTTGTATTTTACATAAACTAGGAAGGGTTTTGAGCAATATCTGCAAGAGGATAGAGTATGGGGAGAATGTAATCATTAACATCAAATAAACTTTATAGTTTGCATATATTTGCATAATAACAAGCAAATATAGTATTTGATATCCATATATGATATTTGTCAAATATATTCCACTTTTGTGATTCAGCATTTCCCTATTTGTATATTGAAGAAAAGGCAAATATGCCATTGCCAGTAGCATAAATTTAAAGGGCTGATTTAAAGGGTCTGGCTGGGTCAGGGAAACAGGCTTTCAACCAGGATATTTTGTGACAGCATCTCTAAAGTTATACTTTTATCCATGAAACAGAACGCTTACATTGAGTTTTGAGACTAGGTTAGCAACACTCTTTCCCAGCTTGAGTCCTATATAACATCTATGTTGTTTAATCCATAGGTCATATAGCAAGCAATAGACTCTAATGATGATTTGTTCTTCACAGCTAGGAGAACTTCGGCATTCACAAATTAGCTAAACTGTCGTCCCATCACCCATGCATATTATTAACTTGGGTTTGCGTCTTTCTTCCTTTTTTCACTCTGTCTAACACCAGACAATTTTACTGGTTAAATATTGAATACGTATGAGTTAAATGTCAACCGAGCATACTAGAATTTGCTGTTGTTATTCCATATACAGTTATGGACTTTGTCCTTGACTTGATTCTGTTCTATGCCTTCAGGAATGAATATCGACAATGGAGAACAAGATGAGGAAACGTCCACTCGAATTTCATAGAAACAGCAGCCACAGAATTTCTATTGCCCCACACAGTTCATAGCCAGGCAGAGCCTACGAGATCGGCAACATTCAAAGAATATAAATGTTCCAGTTTTTCGGAGCAAATGAATTAGATTTTTTGATGAATTGAAAAGGATCGAGGAGAGTTTTTTATACGTGTTATTATATACTATCTGCTGGCAGCATTACATAAATTACAAAATTTTCAAATTTTCTGTGGTCGTTCAAAATGGCAACGGATGCTTGGAAGGTATTATGTGTAAATTTGGTACCGGTAGTTTTGAAGGTGACTTTTGAAGAAATGTATATAAAGTGGAACCTGTTTGCAAATATAAATTATGATCCTTGAAGGATTGTTTTCATATAAAATACTCTAGCTAATTGATTTAGTCAGTTCTGATAAGGGTAAGGCTTACTATAGCATTTGGGTTTGAAATAGGATTAGTGTTACCTAGGGTTTAGATTAGTAGCATTTTGATTATGGCAAGGATTGGGGAAATCACTGCATTAATACTCTAACATAATTATTTTACTGTTGTAGAAGCATTCTCTACAGAATTCTGGATCTCGGGATTTTCATAACGGTGACTATTATTTCTCTAATGGCAAACAAGCAAATAACTTTCATTCGAAGACAAGGGAAACTGGAGTGATTGAAAAACTTTGTGTACGTGCATGCATGATGTTTGATTGAATTGAATTTCATTGATATTTTGACTTGGAAATGTGTTACAGTATTTTGCATCTAAATATGTCATTTTGTTGGCAGCAAACATATGGTTTCATTGAGTGTGCAGAGCAAGATCTAAGAGTGTTTTTTCACTACAGTCAGTACAAGGGACATGCTAGCGAGTTGGAAACTGGAGGTGCGCTAAAAACTATCTTGTGTTACAATCCATCTTTTGTTCTGCCGAGTGGCAGATATCATCAATGAGAAAAGTGCTTGAGCAGAATGTTGTGTTGTCATAACATGACTGTTAAGCCTTGTTTAATGCTTTCTTCATGTTTTTGTTAATGTGTTTGTGTAGATTCTGTTGAATTTGACGTAACATCAGATTCGCGTACAGGAAAACCAATTGCATGTCGTATATTGAAGTTGGAACATGGCAGTGTCACTTTTGAAGTAAGTATCTCACTGTAAGAAGATGACCACAAGAGCCTTTCTTGACGTCCTAAAAGTTACAAAACTAAATTTTTTGAATAGGTTAAAAGTGAAGAGAGAGTGACTGGTAAAGTTGAACTGGAAGCCACCAAACCTACACGATACAGCTATCCTAAACAGGTATTTATTGCTTTAGAAAGAATACTTAATAATAACTTCCACTCAGACGTTTTCAACTATATTTTGATCTTTTCTATGTTTCAGCCTGCATCCCGCAGTAGCGTCTCAGAGGCAGGCCGTGTTAGCTACGACGTGAATGGCGTAAGTAGATTGATGAAACTGTGGGTAGCATTGATGTCATGTCAACTTGCCTGGGAGGTGGGGGTGATGTGTACAGTATATTTATGTATTTTTGTATCTCTACTTTTTTCTGTTGTCCAGGAATCATTCTTCCTACCATATTACCAAGCAGAAATTCTTTCAAACTCTCAGCTCTACAAAGGAGACACTGTCTCGTTCTTCATTCTTGAGAACAAACGGTTAGCTTTGTTAGTTATCGAAATAATCCTGTTTGAATTCTTACATCTAACTTTAAATCTTCATAATCATCATTTTTGATATAATCTAAATTATGTAATCTTATAGGAATGGACAGCATTGTGCAGTTGAGTTGCTGCTGGTTGAAGCAGCTCCTCCTGTCTATGTCCAGGGAATAGTTTGCTCATTGAAGGAGTCGTTTGGTTTCATTGAGAGAGCTGACAAAGTGAATGAGGTCTGTTGTACCATGTACAAATTTAAACTGCTGTACATGCATAAGAATATACTCGTTTATCCTTTGCATGCAAAAGTTGTTTCTCATCGTATCTGGACATATATTTGTTTGTTGTAGATATTTTTCCACTACAGTGAGTTTCAGGGCGATATTGGTGATCTGTTACTTGGAGATGATGTGCAGTTTGTCGTTCACGACCGCAATGTACGTTGAAACTTGCTCTTACAAATCTTGCCGAAGCTTACCATATTTAGTGTCATAATACATGCTTCTGGAAATATGTCACCTTGGCTATAGAGCCTGCAGATTATAAAAAAGAGCCATCAAGTTTAGATTAGTGCCAGACTAAGATTAGATTAGGGTTAGATTAAGATTAAATTATGGTCAGAGGCTAGATTTGGGGTTAGGATTAGTTAGCATTAGGCGTTAGGTATCCGACACCTATTTTTACCGCATATAATTATAGCGTTAATTACGTTTTAACTCAATACGCCTATAAGCGTGTAACTATGTGCGCATTGGGTGAACATTCAACGAATGTTTGTTTCATCTGTGCTGCCGAAACTGACGTAGAATATCACTCTCATTGCATGAGCATTTATAAAAAAAATTTACAAGAAAAAAAGAAAAGCCGACCTACCCTACCAGATATTTTTTGGCCTAACTGTAATTCGTAATCATTACAGGGTAAAGAAGTTGCAGTTTCCGTGGAACATCTACCAGAGGGCACGGTGAAATTTGAAGACTGCAGTAAAGACACATTCCAAGGCACAGTGGATAAAGTTTTTAGTCGAACAAAGAGACAAGAACCATTAAATGGCAAAATATTCTACAGCATTAACGATGGTACTTCAGAACTACCTTATGGCGAGAAAGATGTCCTGGGCGAATTCACCATTCTACCTGGTGATGTGGTTGGCTTCAAAATTGCAACTGGTAAATAGCCGGATTTAGATGTATTGGATGATCCAGCCGGACGAACGTTAACCTGTTGCCTGCAGGTGTTTATTTGCGGACGGCGCATATAAACGCCGCCCGCATATAAACACCTGCTATGCAGGCTAGACGAACTTGTTTGATAATTAGTCTGTGTCTGTGCATCCGTCAAGACAGTGGCGAAGTCAGCCCGGCAATTTGGTCATGTTCTGCAAATATTTCCGTGTTCACACACCGTGAAAACAATCAATTTCTAAAGAATTGAATAATGATAATGATTTACAATTTGCATAGCGTGACCAAATTGTTGGGAAGCCTCGCAGTGCCTCGGAAGGTCGTCTCCAATTGGATGGGGGTTTTCTAAAGAACGAAGCAATGTCATTGTTCTGAACACAAAAGCAATTGTCAAATCGAGCCAATGAAAATCACTCTTCCGAGCTGGAATTGCCTATTGACAAACAATTCTGTTTTTAAATGTTTTCGTATTTTACGTATATAGATCGACGAGATTCTTTGAAGAGAGCGACAGAGATTTATCTGATTAAAGAAGTAGAGTCCTTCAACGGTGGCAGTGTCAGAGAAAGGGTTAGTATTTATGCACACATAATATCTCAATATATTTCTCATCGCAACACTAGCTTACTGGTAGGGTTTTGTCTTGTACTAGGGTTTTGTATCGGCGTTAAAAGATGGTTTTGGTTTCATTCAATGTTGCGACAGAGATGCGAGATTGTTCTTTCATTTCAGTGAACTTATTGACACGGTGAGTGTAAATTAAAGCTGTTACTTTGTTTTCTTGTGGGTGAGTATTTTCATTATTTTTGCCAGAAAGCAAGTAAGATAATCACGTTTCTTTTTCAATGAAACTACAGGAACAAGAAATCAACTTTTCGGATGAGGTGGAATTTAGCGTTGTTGACGTAAGAGAATACTTGGTCTTGTTCGTGTCAGTACATACATTATACAATATGCATAATGACGTCACAAAGCTTGATGCTTGCTATGAATGCTGGTCTCAGTAGTCATCGTCCGGGAAAATTAAACAATTCAAAATGGCCACTACCGATGACTACTAAGATCAGCATTCCTCGCGGGCATCAAGCCTTGTGGCGTCATTCTGCATAAGGTCTATTAAGGCAAAAGAAATCAAAGGTCACTCTGCTTTCTATCCTTGTGTTTAGGATCAAGTTACCAGACGCCTTCATGCAATTCGTGTGAGAATTCTACCAAGAGGAAGTATTAGTCTGAAGGTATGGGTCATACAAACCCGTTTCCGACTTGCATACATTGCGATTCTCTTCCATTATAATTTTGTATCTTTTTCTATCAGCCAATGACAGAAGAATGGTTCAGTGGAATTGTGGATCGTGAACCACTCCCTTGGATGGGAAGAAGCCCGAGGAAAGGAGAGCGAGAAAGGTAGAAACTAAAGATGAACTACGGTGGTTTGGATCTAAATTACGCGAAGAAAACATTTCAACGTTTCTCGCGAAGGTTGTTGATCAGAATGTTAGTCGCCACTGCTAACTAATTCTCATGTTTGTATTCTTGTTTGATTTTCAGAGACAGTGAGTGTGGCTTGATTGTTGCTTGCATTGAAGACGAGAAAATTACCTTGCCGTTTTTACCAGCTGATTCTGATCTTAGGGCGATGGCAAAGTTCGGGGATCAGGTATTTAAAACATTCCTACAAAATTCCTGACTTTTTCTAGGTGACCGACGTTCGATTCCTGCAGTATAGGCAGATCTCGCTAACTCTCCATAATTTGATCTTTCAGGTTGAGTTTCAGGTTTCTGTCAGTGAGAGGACTGGACACCAGATGGCGGTGAACATGACGGTGATGAAACGAAATAGTGACGTCAAACATCTCGTACGTAATGACGTCATCGTGATTAACTAATGAATCTGATGTATAATTTGAAATTCTAATGAGATACCAAACTAGTTGGTTAACCTTATTGTGTATCTAGGTCTGGCTTACGGGGTTAAATTTCTAGGCGAGGGGCCTTACCCTTTACCAAATTCAATGAAGGCATGCAATTCTCCATCTTGTATTGAAGGGATTTGTTGCCACACTGAAGGAAACTTTTGGATTCACTGAGCTGGCTGACCATGAGAAAGAAGTCTTCTTCCGTTTTGCGTAAGTGTAAACGACATGATAGTTTTCTCACGAAGGGTCGTCGCCCAGATTGTTCAGACAAACCATGGCAGCTTTTTTTGTAATATTTTGTTATGTTTCCTCTAGTGAGTATGATGGTGATATCGATGATCTCTCGATTGGTGACGAAGTTGAGTTTAATATCACTTCAAAGGGCGGAAAAGTTGCTGCTGAGAGGTTGGTCAAACTACCCAGTGGCACTATCCCACAAGAGGTAAGATGAAAAGAAGTGTAAAGTTTTTTATATTAATGTATTGTAAGTGTGCCTGTGTTCTAACGTTTTATATTTTCTAGACTGTGATATCGGATGCTTATGAAGGAAGAATACTTCGCCCACTGCGTCGAGCCGATCCTCAGGTAGTTATTCATGAATTTTATTGTCGACTAGCCCCCCACCCCCCCCCCCCCCCCACACTCAGGCAAGGCAATCTGTTGATAAAGTCAATCAGTTGATTGAGGTTCTTAATGTTTCTCTTGCAGCAACTGCATTACCAAGGCTTGATTGAGTACTTTGTAGAAACACCAGATGATTATGATGGCAAGGAGACTGAAGATGATAACGACGAGTCAGTCTATGTTATCCCTTACGGTATAACTGGTCTGGTTGACAAGAAAACTGTATTACAGTGTGGAGAAAAGGTAACGAATCAACACCTACCTTACCTACCTATCTACAGTACTGAACCTACCTCCTACCTACAGTCCTTACCCACCTACCTGCATCTACCTACCTACGACTACCTACCTACCCCCACCTACCTACCTACCCCCACCTACCTACCTACCTACCTACAGTACCTACCTTCCCCCACTTAAATACCTACCTACATCTATGTATCTACCCCCACCTACCTACGGCTACCTACCTACATATTACAGTACCTACCTACCTAGTTACCTACCTACCTCCACCTACATACCTACCTACATCTATCTACCATTAACCCGTAATCCCATCATTTCTTGTCTATTAGGTCGAGTTTCGCATTGGTTGTTTGGATGCCTCGGACAAAAGATTTGCTGTTGAAATTACTGCCAAGCGAGAACGATTGAGGGCTGTGGTTGAGTCAGTCAAGGGAGAGGTAGCTATGTGATTACTTAATGTTGTATTCTACATTACGGTGACGTGGTTTGTGTCTGAAAAACACTTCAAGAATACTTCCATTTTTCCAGCGAAAGCCCTTCGTAAGAAGTTGGTGATGTGGGTCATTAACCTTCTTCTTTTCAATATTTTTTCACAGTATGGTTTCATAGCGTATGAAACGGACGAAGCAAAGAATTTGTTTTTCCATACAAGCGAGATCGAAGACGATACTCTGTCAATTAAGGTTAGCATCCATCATAAGAAATGTTAAATATTGTTCAGTTTAATAATATTTTTCAGTAATATTTTTATAAGTAATATTTTTCAGTTTACTTTCTAACGGATCATGTATTAAATTGTAGACCGGCGATACTGTAGAGTTCTTTATCGTTCAAAATACTCGAAATGGCAAGCTCAGTGCGTCTAAGATCTCTGTTGTGAGGTAGGTTGTACATGATTGTTTTTAGTGTGTCAAAAAATATGCACCCGACTTTTCAGTTCGTCTGTTTTAGTATTTGATTTCTTTCACAACGTACTTTGATTTTTAGTGAGAGGCAAAGACCTGAGCGTCTTGTGCGACGAAGTTTGGGCCTCAATGGAGACGATCAAGCTCTCAAGTAAGTCTGAATTAATACTGTTGTGTTGTAGTTTGGTTAGCGCATGTATTCAGTATTTATAAAGTTAGTTCAAGTTGTATCCTGTACTGACACTGTGGACCTACAAGGAATGATCTTTACTGGACCCTATAGGGAGAACAGTTTAGAAATATTAGCCTCTCCAGTGTAACTATAAAGTTAGTTCAAGTTGTCTATTGTATTACTGTAACACTGTGGACCTACAAGGAATGACCGTTACTGGACCTCTAGGAAGAACAGTTTAGAAATTTAAGAACAGTTTAGAAACAGTCAATCTAACACTGTCGACCTACAAGGGATGAACTTTACTGGATCTCTAAGAGTTAGGTTTACGGATGGTGAAGACAGTCCATACTTTCTTACAGGTTTGCAATTATTCGTCAACCAACAGGACCAGACAATACTCGTGGCTTCAAGCACCAGAGAGCCCTTGATTTGGTTGATAACATCTCAAATCTCACTTTAGACGAACAGGAGTAGGCCACTGAAATCTGTCTTTGCAGATGTCGTATTTTAACCCGTACATATTCATGATAACTATTAGTAGTGTATTTCGAGTGATATGCATCGTCTTCGTAGCAAGGCGAAGTGTAGAACTTTTAAGTTTTAACTGCAGGTATTGATCTATTCATGTGCTATTATATGCACTAGGCATTTGTAGAAATGACAAAAGCCCATCTCGGATTTGCTTCAGCAGTTGGACTTTGAAAAATGGCTAAATGTCAAAAGGTATTCCAGGCTTTTCATATTTTCGGTAGCTGAAGCGAATTCGAGAAGGGTGGTTTGTAATAGAAATTTATTGATAATAATAATAATTTGTGAAATTGCATAATAAAACTGTGTTTTACCCAACTTGTTTGAGCTTTGAATTTTTCTGTGTTGGTGTTGTGTACTCAGGTGAATAATATGTTCGCGATGTTACTCTAAGTGCATATCCACACCGGGCGAGCTTGAAAAATATGCCCGGCCACGGTGGGATTCGAACCTACGACCTTTAGAATACTAGCCCAATGCTCTTCCAACTGAGCTACGCGGTCAG